CATCTTAGAATGTAGACGGCTATGTCTTTTGTGCCAAAACAGTGTCTGAAAAAGTGCTCAATCATTTTGTTTAGTTGTTTTGAGCTGGGGTGTTGGGGGAAAAACACTCTTCAGTCAGATGAACTGTAGTTAGAATGCTAGCTTCGTGTGCTACCATTGTATGGCCTGGGGCAGGTACCTCCCTTCTCTGAAATTCAGTTTTCTGGTGTGTGAGGTGCTTTAAGACTAATGAAGGTGCACAGACACCTAGCACAGGTGTTAGGATTACTGGGTGTCTAGTTCTTCCCTCATGAACTCAAATCCATTCCATCCCTTTTCTATAGAAATGTTTGTACTGACATTAGTCTAATGAACTGATAAACCATGTGGTCATCAGTCTCGATGACCCCAAGGCCAGAAGAACTAGACGGTACCCAGCTACCACTACCAGCTACTCTGAAAGGGATCACATTCAAAGATCCAGAATAAAGTAGAAGAAAAACATGGAACAAAACTCAAAATCATAAAAAAAGACCACATTACTGGTCAGATAGAGACTGTTAGAACCCCCAAGACTATGGCCCTAGGTCTGGAAATGAACTCACTCCAGTGCAAAGTTTTAAGCCAAAAAATAGGCATACCTTTTAGGATTATTGTGCCCCTTAGAAGCTTAAAATGCACATCTTAGAATCATCTACCATTTGAGATCAAAAGGGCAGCTTTTATGCAAAGACAAAGTCCAGAGGGATTAGGAGGGATGGGGAAATGGAAGCAAGAAACATGGAGAAGAAATAGGATATTTGATGTTACATTGTGGGGTTGCATTGAAACACAGTGCCAAGTGTGTATGAATTGTTGAATGGAAAACTGACTTGCTCTATAAACCTTCACCCAATTCACAATGAAAAGATTTGGGTTGGTTTTTGTTGTTGTTGTTGTTTCATTTTTAAACAGAGCGTTTCTCCTTTTCAGAAAAGAATTGATTTTTAAAAATATTTTGAAAAGGAGAATATCATGATTTCTGAAGAAGTCCATAGGAGCACAATTCCTCCCAGGATTTCTTCGTTTTGCTGTTGATGTTCAACACTGCTAAGTCTGCTCGGAGTCCTGGTGAAAGACACTACATACGACAGAGTGAAAATGTTCTCAGTCCTACACCATCTTGATATGTTTGCACCTGTGGTGGCAGCTATGCGTCAATCCATTTTATTTACAGTTTCCCCCATTTTCACAGGCTTTTTATCAAATGCCAGGGTAAGAAAGCGTAACTACTAGGGTGTCCGTTAACATACGAAGGGCTTATCCTAAACAAAACATGTTAAAGTGTGTCTCTGTGATTGGTGGATGGCTGTAGACAGTTCTCTCATAATACACTTGTCTTAATCTAGTCGGGATGACTTCAAATGATAATTAAAAAAAGATACAATTTGTGCCATGGAAAAGAACTATTTTAGTACAGGGCTGACATCACAGTTTTAACAAAACTCAAGAGGACATCGAAGCTTTGTGATATGTTTAAGGAATGCTGCCCACAGAAAATGACAGTTTTCAGATGCATCAAGTGGCATCAGGATGGCTGATTAGACTGCAGAGACCAATTCAAGGAAGAGAGACCAGTGCGGCATGCTATGATAACTCTTTTTGGTTAATTCCAAATGGATAATCTTGAAAGATTTTCTCAAAGGACATAGGATGATCATGGGGGCTTAATAGGAAGAAGTTTTAAGACAACTGAAAACTGCACTGATGAAAAAAAGGGTAGGGAAGTTGCACTAAGACATGATTTTCCACACGAAGAATGCACCAGCTCATTAATTAATAGTAGCTAGAGCTGTGCTAGGAGAATTTCAGTGGCTTCCCACTTCTGGTATTTTTGTTTAATATATGTTTCCATTATTTTGTAGCAATATTTTATCCTGTATCTCCTTTTTCAGTGACTTCTCTTTCCCAATGATGTGTCCAAAGTAAACCAGGATAAAAAAAGAGCAAATTTTAATTTATTTATTTTGTAGTATATTTATATTATGGTGCTAATGAAGAATATTGAAAGCACCATGGACCCAGAAGAATAAGCAAATGTTTCTTGGAAGAAATAGAACCGGAATGCTCTTTAGAAGCAAGGATGGAGAGAGTGTATCTTATCAGGACACTTTGGCTATCTTATCAGGAAAGACCAGGTCCTGGAGAAGGGGGTCAGTTAAAACGCGGAAGACCCAAATCAGATGGATTAACACAGTGTTTGTAACAACGGACTCCCGTATACAACCACTGTGAGGCTATGGTAGGCTCAGGCAGTGTTTCATTGTGTTGTGCACAGGGTACCTATGAGCTGGACGCAACCCGACAGCACCTGCCAGCCACAGCCGGCCTGTCAGTTTGTCGCAGTGTGGTGTTTGCATGTTGCTGTGATGCTGGAACTGATGTCATGGGTATTTCAAACACCAGAAGGGTTACCCAAGGTAAACAGGGATCCGCAGAGCTTCCAGACTGAGAATAGACTGCGGTCCAATTCAGAGTCATTAGCCACTGAAACCCTCATGGAGAACAGCAGACTATTGGTAGACACCGATAACCTCAGTGCCAGAAGGTAAATCCCTCTGTCGGAAGGCACCCAGAAGATGGCAGGAAGAGCTGTCCCACGCACGTAGAGCAGACCATGATGATGTGGATGGAGTTTTGGGGGTTTTCCTGTGCTGATGTGGCACAACTCAACATGAGACAAAAGGCTGTAAATAGCTATTCATAACTGGAACTTGGAATGCATGAAGTATAAATTTAAGAAAATGGGAGGTTTTCAGAAATGAAATGGACTGCATAAATATCAACATCGTAGGCATTAATGAGCTGAAACTGATTGTATTGGCCATTTTGAATCAGGTTACTAACTGGGAATGACAAATCCAAGAAAAATGGTGTCACATTCATCACCAAAAACAACATTTTAAGATTTATCTTGATGCACGATCCTGTCTGGGATAGGATAACATTTGCATGAATACAAAGAAATCTAACCTATGTTATTCAAATTTTATGCACATTATTTCCATTTATGCACAAACCACTAAAGCCAGTTATGCAGAAATTGAAATGATTTTCCAACATCTTCAGTCTGAAATTGATCAAGCATGCAATCAAGATGGATTGATAAGAATCAGGCATTTGAATGCAAAAGTTGGAAACAAAGAGGAAGGAACAGTAGTTGGAAAATATGACCTTGGTGTTGAAATGAAGCTGGAGATCGCATGATAGAATTTTGCAAGACCAATGACTTTTTTATTGGAAATACCTTTTTTTTCAGCAACACAAAAGAAGGCTTTTCCAAATGGAATAAACGGAAATCAAATTGACTACATCTGTGAGAAGACATGAAAGAGAAGTTCAATATCAACACCCAAACGCTGTTGGCCAGGGGTCAACAGTGGAACAGACCATCATGGGCTCATATATAAGATGAAGTTGAAGGAACTTAAAACAAGTCCACTGGAGGCAAAAAATGACCTTTCATATATACAGTGAACCCTCGCCACTTCGCGCTTCGACTTCCGCGGCTTCACTCTATCGCGGTTCTTGTGTAACAGCGCATGCTCGGTCATTACTGCCACTGATTGGCTCATACTGTACACGCTTGATGCCATAAATAATATAATAAATAATAAATGATCATTGTAACGTCCAAAATGTTTTACTGTATTTTCCCTTTTTCGTTTAATAAATTGGGTAATACGAGTGTAATGGTGACTAAAGGGTGTTTTTTCATGTCCTCTATGCTCTAACTACGAAAATATTTGATTTACAAATAAGGAATCCTACTTCGCGGAATTTCATTTATCACGGTAGGGTCTAGAACCAATCAACCGCGATAAACGAGGGTTCACTGTATCAGGCACAGATCTGATTCACGGAACACATTGAACACAGACCTGATGAGCTGCGGGAGGCCATCAAGAGCATCCTCCCTGAAGAAAGCTAAAGGTCATTAAAATGACAGGAAAGAAGAACAGATCAGCATGGATGTCCGAAGAGACTCTGAAACTTGCTCTTCATGGTAGAGTGGCTAAAGCAACTGGAAGAAATGATGGCGTCACAGAACTGAACACAAAATTTCAAAGGGCAGCTTGAAACGACAAAGTAAAAATATTATACTGAAATGCGCAAAGACCCAGAGTTAGAAAACCTAAAGGAAGGGCATGTTCAGCATCCATCCATTAAGCAGAAAGAATTGAAGAAAAATTCAAGCCTCAGGTTGCAAGATTAAACGATTCTATGAGCTCAGAAGCAACAAAGCCCACATGGTAGAAACATACCAGCCTGTGTGATCACGAGGTGTTGATGGGATCAAGTATCAGGCATCAAAGAACAAAAAATCATATCATTTGAATGAGGGGGAGTGTGGAGTGGGGACCCAAAGCCCACATGTAGGCAATTGGACATCCCCTTACAGAAGGGTGGCGGGGAGAAGACAGGCCAGTCAGGGTGCAGTGTAGCAACGATGAAACATACAACTTTCGTCTAGTTACTAAATGTTTCCTCTGCCACCATTACCATGATCCCAATTCTCCCTTACAAATCTGACTAGATCAGAGGATGTACACTAGTACAGATAGGAACTGGAAACACAGGGAATCCAGTATAGATGATCCCTTCAGGACCAGTGGTGAGAGTGGCGATACTGGGAGGAAGGAGGGAGGGTGGGGTGGAAAGGTGGAAATGATTACAGGGATCTACATATAACCTCCTCCCTGGGGGATGGACAGCAGAAAAGTGGGTGAAGGGAGACATCAGACAGCATAAGATATGACAAAATAATTTATAAATTATCAAGGGTTCATGAGGGAGGGGGAATGGGGAGCGGGGAGGGAATGAGGAGCTGATGCCAGGGGCTTAACTGGGGAGCAAAGGTTTTGAGAATGATGAAGGCAACAAATGTACAAATGTGCTTTACACAATTGATGCCTGTATGGATTGTGATGAGAGTTATATAAGCCCCCAATAAAATGATTTTTAAAAGATAATAAAAGATTCTATGGGCTTGGATTTATGGCAGGCCTGGCCCCATGGGCATCTCATAATGTCCCATGCCAGAGCAGACCATAGCATGGAACCACTGCCTCACCTCCTAGCCCATAGGCTTCTAGCATTGAAGCAGGTTGTACAATGGGGTGGAGGTTGTGGGGGGGATTCTATGGGCACAATTGAACGATATGGAAGCATTCAAAGAAGATGGAAGGAATACAGAGAGCCACTATATAAAAAAGGACTAGTTGACATTCAACCATTTGAAGAGATAGCATGTGATCTGAAACCATGGTACTGAAAGAAGTCCAAATTGCATTGAAGGAATTAGTTGAAAACAAGACTCCAGGGATTGGCAGAATATTTCACCATGCTTATGAAGCACTGGAAGCAATCGCTAATCCATGACAAGAAGTTAGAGAGACAGCTACCTGGCCAATTCAGCCCACAGAAAGGGGACCCCACAGAATGTGGACATTATCAAACAATGTAATTAACATCATATGCAAATGATATTTTGCCAAAGATCTTTCAACAATGGTTTCAGCCATATATTGACAGGGAGTCGCCAGAAACTCAAGTTGGATTCAGAAAAGGACATGAAATATCATTGCTGACATCAATTGGATCATTGCTCAAAGCAGATTTATCAGAACAATGTGTTTCACTGACTGTGCAAAAACATTCAACAGTGTGCATACTAACCAACTACAGATAGCCTTGAGTAGAATGGGGATTCTCAAACCTTTCATTGTGCTCATGTGGAAGCTGCACATGAAGCAAGAGGCAGTTGTGTGAACATAACAAGAAATACTGCATGGTAAAATCAGAAAAGTTGTGTGTCAGAGCTGTATCCTCTCACCATACTTCATTCAATCTGTGTGCGGAGAAAACCATCCGAGAATGTGACCCAGCATTGGAGGAAGCCTGATAGACAACCTGCCATAGGGTTATGGCACAACCTTGCCTCCTGGAAATGAGCTGTTGCAGATCAAGGATTGCAACCTTCAATATGGATTGCGACTCAAGGTCTAGAAGGTCCAAATCCTTACAACTGGACCAACAGAGAACAACATAATAAATAGAGAAAAGGTTGAGGTAGTCAAAATTGTTATCTTGTTTGACTCCACAATCAATGCTCATGGAAGCAGGAGTCATGCAATCATATGACACGTGGCATTGGGACAGTCTGCTGCACAAGATCTTTCAAAAGTGCTGAAGAGCAAGTATGTCACTTTGAGAACTAAAGGGCACCTGACTCCAGCCATGATTCCCAAGTGCCTCATGTGCATGTGAAAGTTGGACAGTAAATAAGGAAGACCGAAGAAGAGGCAATGCATTTGAATTATTTTGGCAAAAAATATTGAAAGTATCATGGAGTGCCAAAAAAAAAAAATCCCAAATACACCTGTCTTAGGAAAAGTACAGCCATAAGGCTCCTTAGAATTGAGGATAAGACTTCCTCTCATGTACACTGGTACAGATAGGAACTGGAAACATAGGGAATCCAGGACAGATGACTCCTTCAGGACCAGTGGTGAGAGTGGCGATACCGGGAGGGTGGAGGGAAGGTGGGATGGAAAGGGGGAACTGATCACAAGGATCTACATATAACCTCCTCCCTGGGGGACGGACAACAGAAAAGTGGGTGAAGGGAGATGTCGGACAGTGTAAAATATAACAAAATAATAATAATTTGTAAATTATCAAAGGGTTCATGAGGGAGGAGGAAGCAAGAAGGGAGGGGGTGAAATGAGGAGCTGATACCAAGGGCTCAAGTGGAAAGCAAATGTTTTGAGAATGATGATGGCAACAAATGTACAAATGTGCTTGACACAACGGATGGATGGATTGTAATAAGAGTTGTATGAGCCTCCAATAAAATGATAAAAAAAAGATCGATAGTCATGGAAAACCCTTTACAGGGCTGCTAAGGGTCAAAATCAACTTGATGGCCGTAAGGTTGGGTGTGTTGTTTAAGCAATAGGACAAACCAGGGAAACTGGCCCTTTCGATTTGGGAGAAATGTGTCACCCACCACTCATTATTCATGGATGTCTTATTCATAAGACCACATATTTGGTTAAAAAAAAAGTTCCCAGATGAAAACAACTTTAGCAGAGGTCCAACAAGATTGGTGGGGCACTTACTAATGTGTCACTTGGGGAAGAGGGATACTTTATATATTATTATAACTCCCGCGAATAATAAGAATCCACTGTACCTGGAAGCAAGGTCCAGCAGTGAGGAATGAGATGGCCACACTCCAGAGGCAGGAAGGAGGAGTGCAGTGAACTGAACTGTTTAAGGCAAGGCTCCGGTGCTTTGGGGGAAACTGGACAACATGAAAGATCAAACAGGAGTCAAGCAACCTGCCACGGAAAGATGTGTTTGGGACAGCATTTGGCATGTCTCCAGAGCCTCCTGCTGCTGACCGGCAGCTGTGGGGAAAGGGCAGGTCCTCAAGAAACCAGAACTCACTAAGGAGGCTGGGCCAGCGGTAAGAAGATTCTCACTACTCTCAAGGCCTCATTGCTTTGCACTCAGATGGAAAAGTCTGGGTGTCCGTGAGCGTCCACGTTCTCTCTGGAGGCCTGTCGTGGCGGGGTGGGGAAGTCATGGGAGGATGCCCTACAAAGAAGGAGCATCCCAGAGGACTCGAGTAGTGGGAGGAAGTCTCTGAAGCCCTTCCCTTAGGAAAACCGTGTGTTTGTTAGGTGTTGTTGGCCCCATGCTTGAACCCATTGTTGCAGCCACGGTGTCAATCCATCTCATTCAGGGCCTTTCTCTTTTTTGCTGCCCCTCTACTTTTCTCCAAGGACCATTCTCTCCTGACCACATGTCCAAATGATGTAAGACAAAATCTTGTCATGTTTGCCTCAGACTTGTTTGTCCTTTTGGCTGTTCATGGTATTTGCAATATTCTTTGCCAGCACAATTCAAATGCATTAGTTTTTCTCCAGTCTTCCTTATTCAGTGTCCAACCTTCACACGCATCTGAGGCAATGGTCAAATACTGTGACTTGTGTGGTAGTTACGTAATCTCCTATCAACTTGCAAAGGGGGGGAGTCTAGGCTGTTAATCAGGTTGCAGCTTGATCATCTCATTTTGAGGCTCTATGTTGATAAACAGCTCACTGGAGGCCAGAAGTGCTCTCTCTCTGCTTTGTCTTCCTGATGACAAGCCACAAGTAGCTATGCTGATTGCAGCCAGAATCCTGGAGCTGGAGGAGCCATGTGGAGACCCATGCTAGCATTGAGATGCTTTCACCACCACTGGATTCACAAGACTCTCATCCACTGGCCTGTGATTTTCCTGTATTTAAAATCATTGCATGGCTGCGTGAGTCTAAAGAGGAATTTATGGACTAGTATCGGCCTATGGGATAATATCAGACTTACGGACTTGATCTGGATTGGGATGGAATGTTTTCTTAATGTACAATTGCTCTTTGATATAAAGTTCTCTCTTACACATATATGAGTATCTCTGGATTTGTTTCTCTAGTCTACCCGGACGAACACAGCTTGGCTAAGAGTAACATGCTCTAAAGAGGTCTTGTGCAGTAGACTTACTTGATGCATTATGTCTCTTGCTCTCTTGACTTCTGTGTCCATGAACATCGATTGTGGATTCAAGCAAGATAAAATCCTTGAAAACGTCAGTCTTTTCTCCAAATATCATGTGCGCTATTGGTCTGGTTGTGAGGATTTTGATCTAAGGAAAGCCTCAGTCCCCTACAACCTAGGAAGATCCCTGGGGGGTGATTTTTCTCAGATGACACTAGAGCAGGTGGAAGTGGGATGTATGTAAGGAGTGGGTTCTACTGGACCATGAGTGGGGATTTACAGACTGGGAAGTGATGTACTTTTAATTTGATCATAAAACAAAAAAGTAGAAGAATCCGCTACTTTTAAAGAAACGGTTGATTGGAATATCTTCTCAATTCCGATAAATGTTTTCTTCTTTCATCAGGTCTCTCCCATTGTTCTCTTCATGGCCAAGAGAAAAGACAGACTTTCTGGCTCTCTGATCCCTATGTTGATACTACAGCCACTGGCTCTATCTTTTCCTTTGGGGTTCTCTTTCATCAAATGTTTGAGTAAAAAGTATTCAATTAATATTAGAAGGAAATGTAGTTCTCTTCCTCTTTCAGAAGCCTCTCTGCCAGTCACACCATATGAAAATCTCCTCATCCATGAACTTGCTTTGAATCCTCCGTCCATTTGTGCTTCATCCAGCCTTTGATTCCCATAGCACCTTGCTGATGATGGCCCTCACCCTTGGCATTATCCCTTTTAATCAACAAAGGAGTTGATTAAAAGAAAAAAGAAATACATGAAAGGAAAATAAATATGGGACTGTATGATGACACCCATGTTACTACACATAATATGAGAGACATTTCCTGCTCAGTTCTGAAAGTGAGTCCTGGAAGAACTGTGGCCCAGTCAACGCCAGGAAGCATTCAGAAATCAACTTAAGTCACCGCCTCATGTTTGTGTTAATAATTCAGCACCATGCCTGCCTGACTTCTCACTCTGTCACTCGCTTCTTGCTACTATCTGACTGTGGAAAGGACACACCAGTGTGTTCTCCATCGTACTAGAATTTCATCACAGGAAGTTCTAATATCTAATGCCATAGATGTCTGGGTAGCTCTTTTTGGAGATGTCACCATGTTTTAAGGGCTTCGTTGCAAAGATTGTAAGGGAGACAGGGGAGTCAGGTCATCCCTCAACTTTCCCATGTACTTTCTGTCTCAGCTTGTGTGTGTTTCAGACATAGTTGGTAAGTGGATCCCTTGCGGTGGTTCATCAAGCTACAGCTGCCTCTGGAAAAGAAACTTCATTTGAATGTTCTTGTCTCTCCATGGCCTAAACAACAACAAATAAGATAAGGAAATGATTGTCATTTTCCAAATGCTGTGAGAGCAACTGATGGCACCAACATCATCATTTATGGCTCCAGGGCAAACTATAAATGGAATATTATGACTGTACCAATGTGTGGAAATGTCAATTATTATTGTGGCAATATGAAATACTTCAGATTTCCCCAATCCACACCTAATTTCTATATTTGATGAAGTAATTACAGAGTCTGGCCTCCTCTGGGTCGTTTTTATTGAGAAAAATTTTAA